AATTCGTATTCAGCATTGTAAATGATTATGGCAGCACCAAACTGAACAGACGATTTCACCAAATCCTGAAAATTTTTCCGAAAAAAAATATTTATTTTTCTGTTGAAGTTGTCGATGATTTCAACGCGATATAAAATGATTTTCTGGGATGTTCTTCATCGTATAGAGTAGCAGGATCCTTCGAATGTGACTTGCATGATTTCAAGATCGAAAATGAGGCGATGGAAACCGAAGAATTAACAATTATCGATTTTCAACATCCTGTATGAGGAAACTGTTTCGAGATATCAGCTCGAACGTTCGGAAATAACGATCTATAAAAAATTAAAGAGAAATTCCTGGAATACGGAAGCGTTTGAAGTTTTTCATGTTTGTAACACTTTTTCAGAACACTTGGGGTATAATAACAGAAAAACTATCGACAGATTTTGAACGGAGAATCTTGGACAAAAAGATCGCATCGTTCGAGTACTGCCTTCCGATTAGAAATCTATTAATCTTCTAAAAAGATATGGCTGTTTCAAAATTATCAAATATTCCAGTAGTTCACTTGTTTCTTTGAGCACTTAAGCATACGAAACTCCACTCGCCACTATTGATTGATTACCAAGGATGAGTGCTGTTTTTTCTTCGTGTAGCCTCAATCATATAACCAACTTCTACCTTATTCCTGTTGGTTTTTACGATGTTATCTGAACATCACAGGATATTCCTTTTCGTTGAAATCAGAACATAAAAAACAATGTCATTGGCACTTCTGTCATCTTTCTGCTACCAAGGTACAATTGCTTCATCAATTCAGCATTATTCATCTAGTTTCAAGAACTTTCACCTGTCATCAGTAGTGATCCTCGAATAATGGTATTTTTCCAGGTTAGTGGTTGAAAAGAGGCAATTACGTACAAGAGATGTTCAAAATACGAAGTCGAGTTGAGAACTGATGCCAACACGATTTCTGCTAGGTACATGACGATCTTGTTGATTTCATAAAAACGGTGAATTCAGGGAATTCGAACTGTGCGATCAGCAATGTCAACATCTTCTTGTGGAAACACACTGAATGAATATATTCAATGAAAGTTATAGGAAATAGTGTTTTGATTATTAAATAAAAAATCTGTATTTCTGATCAAGCCTTCTCATCATTTTTGCATATCAAGGAAGATAAGTATTCATGGCTTCGAAGGAGTATAGATACTGTAGCTATGACGACCGATATTTTGTTCTTGGCGCTGTTTTATATTGAAATCTTAACATAAGTAGTTATATCACACGTGGCTGTCATGTTATACATGGCTGTAGACGAAATTTTCAGCTTCATCCGTTGGTGTGGAGAACAGATATGGCTTCTATTATGAAAACAAGTTGATTCGTGAATCTCTGGAGATGATGAATATTATTGACAATATTAACTTTTTCGTCATGATTGATTTCCTGTGAATATGAAATTTCAAATTCTCCTCTCTAATATCATTTTTCAAAAAATTCAATGATGGGTGGATTACTGATTTCCAGTTTCAGTTCAAATTTTTCAGTTACATACGTCTGAAATTTTTCCAAATAGCACAACGTCAAATTACACAATTTTCCACCGAGTCATTCGATTTTCTACCTCTCACTGTTTGTGGAATACCAATACTGTCTCTATTGAATCGGTGAGACATTGTGATCAAACGGAGGAATGAGAGTTGCAGTAGTAGCACAGTTCCAGAAATTTGTAGAAAAGGTGGAAAAAATATAAGAAATCGAACTGAAATATATATTATATCGTGAACACGAAAAAAAAAGATTTGTTGCATCAACAAATTATTTATGATTGAATTATTTTTGTTGATTCGAGCAATTTTTTGTTGAATCAACCAGATACATGATTATTTCATGGAAGCAGCTTGTTCAAATCAAGAATGTAGTCTAATTGAATCGACAGTATAATATCAATTCCATCAACAAAATATATGGTTTTATCAAAAACAAATTATGTTGATCCAGAATAATGTCGATGTTGATTCAATTATAAACATTTTGTTGATTTGATCAATTGATGATCATTTTGATGAGAATATATCTTTGGAAAAACATACAAGTTTTCTTATTCCGATGTAGCAATGAACTTGTTTCGAAAGAATCATTTGCTTGAATAGAGCAACGAAATATGTAATATCAATTAAATATTCTGTTCATTCTACATCAACTCAAATTTTCGCCTCTAGATGGCGATCATTTCGTCTCGTATATGTCTGCCTCGAATTCATTATATACGTGAAGCCTGATTCTTCGTGTTTGAAATATCAACTAGATGAATCGAACTCTGGATGATTAGCAATCCTAAATAGTTCTCCATCAGCTGAAGAGAAGTGAAGACTGATGATGCTAGAAGTAGACTTGTTTCCTAGTTTTGTTTATTCTATTGATGTGAAATTTCAGAAAATTTCCGAATTTTGATTTTGGTTCAACAAAACAATTTGTCGAATAAATATAAAGTTTCTCTTGAATCAACAAAATATTTCATTGAATTAACCAAATATTCTATTGAATCAAACAAATATTTCATTGAATCAACCAAAAATTTCGTTGAATCAACTAAATATTTGATTGAAGCAATATGTTATTATTTTGGATCGAACAAAATGATTGTTTGAGTCAATTCAATATCTCTTCAAAACCATTCATGGATGTGCTTGATTGAAGAAGATCCAGAGTTCATGCAAGACATATTTACTTGATTCAAACTTCAAATTCGCTCTGAAACAAGATATAGATTTACTCATTTCAAGATTATATTTTGTCGTTCATATATGACACTTTTTGCTCCATCCAACCAAATTTTGCTTGATTCAACAATTCCTTTTTTTTTTCGTGAAGCTTCCGGTTTTGCATGAAATGACGTCATCTATAATATTCTCAATGAAACACCCTGTATTTCACAACATTTCCGAATTCTCTTCATGATTTTGATACACGTCCATGCAGCATACCATATAGCTGGAATGAACCATTCTTGAATTGATCGGGTTTTTCTAGAAGGAATGACAGGAACAGCGTAGCGAATGTACGCCGTTTCCATAAGAGTTACAATTTCCAATGAGGTGCAGTGATTAAATCATGAATATTGAAAGTTGAACGGATCACTTACTTCAATGTGCAGATAAGTGGATGGAGAAAGTAGATGTCAAACACTGGAAATCAAGATTTTTTGACATATGGATCCCTGTTTTGTCTTCTCGTTATCAAATTCCATGATAAAAATAAGCCCTCCACTTCTAATTCATTCTTTCATTACCAAAAACTATGATTATGAAGATATGTCATGAAAATTACATTTCAACATATGAAAGCTGTTTGAAATCCAAGATAGTGTACTGTGCAAGATATGTATTGATTAATGAATTGAAGATTTATTTCCATACGGCTCGTGTTTGATATAATATCGAAGAATTCATTAATGCAGGTATATAAGTGATCCAAATCGTTATGTAATCAAAACTTCATGATTGAACCCAACATGTGTCATTTTGCACTCTCGCAGATGATGAATCTGACAGTAAACAATTTCAATTCGATTGTTGACAGATATTCCGCTCAGCCAACTGGATCCTCCAGAATTTGTAGCAGTCATTATGCAGAAACGAATTCGTTTCGAAGAATATCTCTGAAATTATGGGCTCCAAGTAGAGGAGAGTCGGTTTGAACTGGGAATCATTCTTAATATGAGATCGGATTATGACTGGACAAATTTGGGTTTATAGGTTTTTGACTGATTAGGACTCACTTTCCTCTGCAAACCCTGTGAATCATTGAGAAGTAATCAGTTATTCGTTTTTTCAAAAGTATTTTTGATACAATTGCTGCTTATCTCCGAAGATTCAAATCCACTTAGTGATAATTGATTCACAAAAGAAAGGTTCAGTGTACGTTGGAGGACGACACAAAATTATTGTTGATTATTTTGAGTAATACAGGGTGTCTTATGCAGAATATAAAAAATTACGTCACCTTTGGAACAACCGGTAGCTTCACAATAATCAAAATATTACTAGTAGATTTCTTATGTTTCCTGAATCGTCTCCACGAATGTTCGTGATTGTGCTAGTTCCAGCTCACTATATATGGATTTTGCCAACTCATCAAGATAAACCTGTATATCTATACGTATTCGCAATTTCCCAAAATTAATAGTCAATATTTGCAACACTGTGTGGAGTACCATAACAGAGAATTGAAAAATGATCTGGTCGTCCCAATCAGAAATAGAAATACTGTTTATATTTCTCAGGAACAAACTATAACATCAACCAACGAATTTTGATTATAAAAATCAATTGGTCCTTCCGGTATCCTTCCGCCTATGAAAAAGCTAATAGGGCACATGTTTGCCCTACGGTTCCAACACCTGCTCTTTGTCGACTACCCTGATGACAGCGTCACACAGGAATCTAACGTCTCGATCATCTTGATGCAGCGTTCGAGTTCAATGACGAAAACCTTCAGATGCGGAATGAGGAGGACTGGTAATACATCTAACATCGAGTGCTGCTACGCCTCTATCACCTTTTGGAGAAAGTCAATCCTTCTGGCTGTTCTTTGTTCAGTTATGCCTTCAGATCCTTCTCGACTGTCTTTACTTCTCTTTTATTCAGTGGAGATTAGAAAAAAATATATGTGATCCATGAAAACATCTCCAGCCCGTATATGTTTGATCTCAATAGACCAAGAATAGCAAATATTGGCGTCTTCCCGAAGTCCTTCTCAAAACTCTACAGGTACTCTCAGATTCTGAAACCGGTGTAACAAATTCGATCATCTCATCGTTGAGACCGTTCAGTAGAAATCTGAGGAACTGTTCATTCTGAAACATTTGAAATATAAGTATAAAACATGCTTGTTTCTATGATATATACATATTATTCAATTATCCATACGTATCATTTATTCAATTGAATATTTGAAAAATGCCTGACCCTCCACGATGTCAGTGGTTCAGATTGATATTCTTTTTTCAGACCTATGACTGGGACAATAAAAGCGTTATCCTTTCTTCCTTCTTCTGGGGTTACATCACTCTTCAGATATTTGCTGGCCAGCTAGGCAATACCTACGGAACCAAATGGATAGTGTTCGCAGCGATGTTCGTGAACGCTTCTGGATGCATGCTGACTCCCCTCCTGGCCAATACTGTGGGATCCTATGGTGTCATGGGCTGCAGAATAGTTCAAGGGATGTCGCAAGGGTTCTTTTTCCCCAGTGTGCATAATGTTCTGGGACAATGGGCGCCATTGAAAGAACGCTCATTTCTTGGGACAATAGCATTCGCAGGTAACAAGATTATTATAACAACAACAAAGAATTGGGCATGATCATAAGTTCAGTTTCTTGAGTAGAAACTTGCTCACCGATCTGAGTGGAAATGTGGAATTCACCAACATTCTTTCGGGTCACCAGCTTATATCAATGTTAAATCAGAGTTGTGAATATATTTCCACAGATATTTCCTTTTCATGTGTGGAGATGATACAATTAGAATAAAATGTATCCTACAATGACCATATCATCATGACCTACTCACAACAATACTAAAAAATGCTCCCGAAACAAAAACCGACGTGTATCACTCAACGTCTGCGTTTAGATGCTGTAGGACCAATGTCGAACAAACAGTATTTAGTATTCAAGCACGTTCGGGTTCATTCGTATTATCGCCACACTAGCCCTATCTAAGGCAACATCGACAGTACTGCCACGTGTTGTGAGAGATTCGAGTACAACAATCAACAAAACTGCCTACTCTGGAGACACCTGCTCTCAATATAACTGAACTTGGTGGCCATTTCACTCAACAGTCCTCTGAAGAACTGAACATGAAATAATGAACGAATTTCAGCAATATAGAAAAACTAAGAAATCGAACCGTCACTGACATCACAAATATCCATTGTAGGTCTGAACATGTCCAAAGGAACATCTGATGAATATCCACCGGATATTCATTTGCCACACAATTGGACATCTGATGAATATCCATTTCGATACAAGTGATAAGCATATTCCGGGATAAAAAAAAAAGTGATGGTATAAAAAATTCGAAACCGCGATTTTTCACTGGCCATTGTGTTTTTTGCGATTGTTGGGAATATTTGAAAAGAAAAAATAATCCTCATGTAGAATCAGATTGAACATAAGTGTACTGATGATTCAGAATACCTATTCATTTTTATGGAACCACATGAGTACCGCTTAGACATGAAGTTCATTTTAAAGAAAAAACAATTAAAAATCCCAAAGTCTGTCGACCACAAAATCATTTAATAAGCGACGTGTTACTAGTTTCGGCCACAGGCCATCATCAGACACAAAATTGATGTAATATAGTACCTAAAATATAATGATAGACAATGTTATGGGGTAAAAAGAGTCATACAATCATATTATACTAACCTTATAACATATTGAGAAAATTATTAAAATCGAAAAGCTAAGTCCAAAAATTCAGTTGACAGTCCAGCATATTCAAGAAGTTTTTAATCTGGAGAATGTCCAGTAAAACCAAATTAAAATTGGGTTATTGGCGAAGTACATCAGGAACTATAATTATTCAAAAATTCTCTCACGTGAGATTCATCAAGAAATGCGAAAAGCAAATGGAAGCTGAGATAGAATTCAAGGGACCAGAATCATCATAAATCACAAGGAAATAAATAGTCGAAGAATGAGTGACACATGTCAAAGTCAACCGGAACTGACATGAAACTAAAAACTGAGGTGGTGACACAGAATATGACACCGACAAGAGACGTCAATATAAATTAATTAACAATAACCATAACAAAATCAAAATTTGAAGCAATGAGACCAAGAGATTGGGAGAAGAATAACAGTAGATCCATCTGGGTTATGTTGATCATCGAAATTTCATAGTACGAAAAATGAGGTTACGTTCAAAGTTGGTTTGTTCATTAAGACATGTGAAATTGGGATTGTTTATACATTTTTGAATTTCTAGCATTTCCAATAGGTTCAACCTGGAGCCTTTATTACAAATGTGAAGGAATTCCATGTTGTCAGATATATTGAAATTATGGTTAGATTCAATTATATGGTTTGCAAAGGAGTAACTAGTGTTTAAATTATTGATGTTCCTATTCCTCCTAATCGCTCTATCATGTTCAGAGGCTCTAGTTTCAAAACTCCGCCCAGTTTGACCAACATAAGAGGAGTTGCAGTCATTGCAATTAAGTTTGTAAACTCCGGATTTTTTAGAAGTAGGGATTTTGTCTTTAGTGTTCACTAATAAGGTTTTAAGGTTGGAGTTAGTTTTAAAAGAAATATTGAAATTGAAACTTGAAAACAGTTTTTTCAATTGTATTGAGTGCCTGTCAAAGTAATGTAAAGATTTAAACACTGGTAATTCTTTCTCTTGTGCTGTTATAACATTGAATGATAATCTGAATTTTGTGAAAAATTTAAAATAAATTTTCATAATTGGATCTAGAGGAAATTGAATTGATGGCAATTTGTTTAATTATATTAATTTCACTAATTTCACTATTAAAAGCTGAATCAGACAGTGGCAAAGAAAAGGCTCTATGAAAAAAGCAGTTGAAAGAAGCAAATTTATGAGAATAGGGGTGGTTGGAATAGTAGGGAATGACAGTATCTGTGGCAGTAGGTTTTCTGTAAACTTGAAATTCAAATCTGGAAGTATTGATGTTTTTTGTGATGAGTAGATCAAGGAAAGGTAGTTTATGGTCACATTCTGTTTCAACAGTGAATTTAATATTAGGATGTAATGTGTTTATATAAACTAAGAAATTAGACACGTCTGAGGGGAAACCATCAAACAGTAAAAGGCAATCATCTACATATCTGTAATAAAACACTAATTTAGAATTAAAACTTGGGTTATTTAAAAATTGTTTTTCCAAATTATTCATAAAAATTTCAGCTAACAAAGGGGAAAGGTTGCTACCCATTGCTAAACCTGTTGTTTGTCGATAAAATTTGGAGTTGAATTGAAAAAAATTTTGATTGAGAACAAAATCTAATAAATCACAAATATTAAGAACATGGTGTGTATCAATATTATTATGAAACAGAAGGTCTCTCACTAGAGCAATACAATCTTCAGGTGGAATGCTAGGGAATAAATTAGTGACATCAAAAGATACTAAAACAGAGTTAGAAGGGATAGGAACATTCTTAATTTTATGTGCTAAGTCTATGGAATTCTTGACAGAAAAGACGTTGTCAAAGGCAGTAAGATCTCTGAGTAAATGATTGAGGAACGAAGCTAGTTTGGAACAAGGTGTATTAATGAATGAAACAACAGGGCGAATTGGAATATTCAGTTTATGGATCTTGGGAAGTCCATACAAAAGAGGAGTGATAGGACACATTGGATATAATTGAAATTTTGACTTGTTGAAAAACATAAGAGTGTCTGATTTATTATCAAGTTCTTTTTTCAATTTCATGAAATAATTTTTGGTTGGATCAATACCTATCAGAGTGAAAGAATCAGAATCAAGAAATTCTTCTACTTTTGAGTTATAGTCTGTTCTGTCAAGGACTACTATACAATTCCCTTTATCTGCCTTTGTCAGAACCAGGTCATTGTTACTAAGTTTATTTTTTATTGAACGTATGGTATTATGATGTTGATCAGTGTGGAAAGAATTATTGGAATTAGTCATAATATTGTTGAAAGTTGTGCAAGCTTGTGCTCTGAGTAAAGGTTTGTTTTCTATGTTGGAGGAAGTGATAATTTGTTCCACATCCACAGCTAAAGTCTCAAGGTTCTTGTTTATATTTGGGGAAGTAATATTGAAATTCAATCCAGAGTGTAATAAATCAGTTTCTTTCTTAGTGAAGGTGGAAGTACTGAGATTCAAAAATCTATCATGAAATTTATGATTAGAAAAGGTAGGAACAATGTTTTGTGTTTGAATAGAGTTAAAACGGAGTCTGTGTAATTTGTTGGATAAATTAATAAATAGGGCCTTACCTGAGTCCTCCACCCAATCTCTTATGTCCCTATCAACAATGTCAAATTCTATTGCAGTTAACTTAGAAGTTAGAATGAAGAAAAGAAACTTCAATTTAATATTGATATGATGCAAACTGTTGTAGTGTGATTTGATTTCCTGGTGTATCCATATTCTTCTAGCTGCAACCATAGTGTACTGTGAAGTCCGTGAATTAATGTTAGTTCTAAGAGAAATTGATCTAGGGTAGACGTTGAACCGTAGACACTGTTGCAAGAACCAAATCCTGAGAAGAATCTTCTTTCTCCACAACATGTTGTCCTGGTACTTAAGGATGATTAAAGCTTGACTAGCATGTATCAAATCATAGAAATCATCCATTTTTTCTCAAAGTGGTCCAATTGATTTTAAAGAAAAAACAATTAAAAATCCCAAAGTCTGTCGACCACAAAATCATTTAATAAGCGACGTGTTACTAGTTTCGGCCACAGGCCATCATCAGACACAAAATTGATGTAATATAGTACCTAAAATATAATGATAGACAATGTTATGGGGTAAAAAGAGTCATACAATCATATTATACTAACCTTATAACATATTCAATTTCCTCTAGATCCAATTATGAAAATTTATTTTAAATTTTTCACAAAATTCAGATTATCATTCAATGTTATAACAGCACAAGAGAAAGAATTACCAGTGTTTAAATCTTTACATTACTTTGACAGGCACTCAATACAATTGAAAAAACTGTTTTCAAGTTTCAATTTCAATATTTCTTTTAAAACTAACTCCAACCTTAAAACCTTATTAGTGAACACTAAAGACAAAATCCCTACTTCTAAAAAATCCGGAGTTTACAAACTTAATTGCAATGACTGCAACTCCTCTTATGTTGGTCAAACTGGGCGGAGTTTTGAAACTAGAGCCTCTGAACATGATAGAGCGATTAGGAGGAATAGGAACATCAATAATTTAAACACTAGTTACTCCTTTGCAAACCATATAATTGAATCTAACCATAATTTCAATATATCTGACAACATGGAATTCCTTCACATTTGTAATAAAGGCTCCAGGTTGAACCTATTGGAAATGCTAGAAATTCAAAAATGTATAAACAATCCCAATTTCACATGTCTTAATGAACAAACCAACTTTGAACGTAACCTCATTTTTCGTACTATGAAATTTCAATGATCAACATAACCCAGATGGATCTACTGTTATTCTTCTCCCAATCTCTTGGTCTCATTGCTTCAAATTTTGATTTTGTTATGGTTATTGTTAATTAATTTATATTGACGTCTCTTGTCGGTGTCATATTCTGTGTCACCACCTCAGTTTTTAGTTTCATGTCAGTTCCGGTTGACTTTGACATGTGTCACTCATTCTTCGACTATTTATTTCCTTGTGATTTATGATGATTCTGGTCCCTTGAATTCTATCTCAGCTTCCATTTGCTTTTCGCATTTCTTGATGAATCTCACGTGAGAGAATTTTTGAATAATTATAGTTCCTGATGTACTTCGCCAATAACCCAATTTTAATTTGGTTTTACTGGACATTCTCCAGATTAAAAACTTCTTGAATATGCTGGACTGTCAACTGAATTTTTGGACTTAGCTTTTCGATTTTAATAATTTTCTCAATATGTTATAAGGTTAGTATAATATGATTGTATGACTCTTTTTACCCCATAACATTGTCTATCATTATATTTTAGGTACTATATTACATCAATTTTGTGTCTGATGATGGCCTGTGGCCGAAACTAGTAACACGTCGCTTATTAAATGATTTTGTGGTCGACAGACTTTGGGATTTTTAATTGTTTTTTCTTTAAAATCAATTGGACCACTTTGAGAAAAAATGGATGATTTCTATGATATGAAGTTCATTGTGCACCACCTTAGTACTGACGTATACAGACATAAGCTACATTAGTAATCTTCCACAAACGCAAAACTCATGAGCTGGTTCTCCTTCAATTGAATGCCATAATTTTTCACGATAATGTATATCTGTTATGTCGATTATGTTTGCACAGATGCATCATGCCATCAAATCCTGTTGGTGAATGATTTATTCTATATTCTAGCTTCCACATTGCATCATTCGTTTATTAGTACGTATACGGTAATTCCATTCAAAAGAAGTATCCTCAGAATATGAAGAAAATCATGTTTCATTAGAATTCGAGAACAATATATTGTTTCATGATAGTGATAATTGAACTCATGTATTGAATCGTCAAGGAAAAACGTTGGGTTTGGGAGTTCGATATTGGATGAATAGAAACTGTTTGTTAGGCCATCAGAAAAATTCCTGTGGTCGTGGTGGGAATCGAACCCACTACCGGTAGTTCAACGTGGATAAAACATTGACGCTTCAACCACGAGGCTACGCTGGCTCAGATCTGGAAACTAAAATTGCTAATGACTCCTATAGGGCAAGCACTATTTCTACTTCTGTCAGAGCATGAGTCTTAGAACATCAAATTATCAAGCTGAGTGGACATTCGTTCCACTCTAGGGACGAATCTGAGAGAGGACCATAATCGAATACAGCAATCCATTCTAAATAGGATCGTATACTGAACTTTCCTCCCAATGAATTTATATTCAAATAATATTTTCTGTTGAATATTCTCCACTAAAATTGCTAATGACTCCTATAGAGCAAGCACCCCAGGTAACAAGCTGACGTCATTTGTACGTCAATATATGGTCATTTATGGTCATTGACGTCATATGACCTCAAAATGACGTCATTTTGACGTACTTAATATGACGTTATATAGACGTCCTTGATATGTCGTCATTATGACGTCATCTGATGGTCATTTTCATGACTAATTATGATCATCATTTATTGAGTCATCTACATCAAGGAAAATCCATAATCAAGAAGTTTCCCATCTCTGTTATATGAAAACGTTTGTGGTTATGTTATATAACATATTTTATTATGTCACTCATCATATATTATGCTTCATAATAATTTTTCCTCTAATCTGTGCGAGATGTGTGTTTTTGATGGTCTCTGAGATAATTGTTAATTATATACCTTCTGTGCAAAGAATTCTCCCTATAGCTATAAAAAATATAAGACCGAATGTCACGTCATAAAAAGCTTATAACGTTGTAATTCCGGAATGCGAATTCAAATCAGAGCGGGAGAGTGCGTAGAGAACTGTATTGGATTGGTCGGCACGGACCTTGCGCAGACATGCGAACGTCGACCGCCAGCGCCAACCCACAGCTGTATTCAGAAGACGGCTGAAGCCAAGCCGTTCACTTTCGCTCCGCCGTTGCGGCCATGATGACCATAACAACAAAATAACAATACATAGAAGGCCATCATTATCATGTTATTCGGCTATCTATGTGGTGTGGTGTGGTGGTCATACTTATTCATATTCATATATCAAGTAGTAGAATTTGAGGATGGCAGCATGGTCATTATTTTAGACAAGTGGTGTATGCCGAAAAAGCAGGATAATGTGAATTGGACGCCATTGAAGGAATACCATAGGGTTCTGAGAAATCTCTTGAGTGCAGCATCCGAATGGGATAAGTTCCCAATAAAAAGAACATTTTATGAAACTGGTATTTATAGTACCTACCTTTAATATTATTTTGCATTCAATGTGGTAAAGGAACATCAATATAATTAAACAAAAAAAATCTCATCTTTTCTGATAATATTGATACAAACCTAATGCAACAGTGTTTTTTTACCTACAGAAAATTTCGAAATAGCACAAAATGAACTGAAACATGCAGAAGATTTCAGTGATATAAATAATCGAAAAGATCACGACATTTTGACGCCATTAGGATGTCGTCATTTTGACGACATCAAAATGACGTCATTCGTCTTTGACTTAGAAGGTCATATAAACGTCATTATGACGTCATTTCGGAAGTCATCCTGACGTCAGGCCTGACGTGATAATGACGTACAAATGACGTCAGCTTGTTACCTGGGACTATGTCTACTTCTGTCAGAGCAGGAGTCTTAGAACATCAAATTATCAAGCTGAGTGGACATTCGTTTCACTCTAGTGACGAATCTGAGAGAGGACCATAATCGAATTCAGCAATCCATTTTAAATAGGATCGTATACTGAACTTTCCTCCCAATGAATTTATATTCAAATAATATTTTCTGTTGAATGTTCTTCTTTTTCAATGAATTATTGTTTAATTTCAATACCTTCAGTTTCATTTACCATTTTTCAATCATCAATCCATCAGATTTGTTGAATTATCCTACTGAACACTTTTCGAAATTTGGTTCCCAACTAATGAACTTCAATTTGGTCTCACGAAAACTAAGTAGCTCGTAATATGACTCTAGCAACTTACATCAAATGAAATCACCCTACCTTCGGTGTCGTGATTATATCATGTTATTAGCTTTTGTTAATTACCATCAAAGCAACGAATACTGCAGAATGAAAGAATATTTGATGATTGCGAACAATCTGATAGGTATAATAACGCCAATGATGCATCTATGAATTCAAGAACAATTCATCTAACCTACAATTTTGATTTATTTATTTATTATTATTTTTTTGTTATTTGCATATTTTTACTATTCGTCGACTATGTATCGTTATATATCTGAATGGAATAAATTACTTACTTACTTACTTACTTACTTACAACAGGAGGTGATATTTTTCTTCCCGTAAGAACACTTGACAATTTTCTGAGCATAACAATTCCTATGACCTATTTTTAATTGATATTCAAGTGAACAACTCTATTTCGGACATAGAGTGACCCTTCACTACGTTACTCAAATATTTACAAGGAAACAGACGAAATACCTCCGATTGGTACTGGTCAAATTCAATTATTACGTTCACGACCATCCTCCAATAATAATCAGCTATATTTTTTCCAGGGCCATCATTTGGTACGATAGTCGCCATGCCTCTGACTGGTTACATTGCAGCTTCTTGGTCAGGTTGGCCTGTTTCCTTCTATTTATTCGGCTGTTTGGGATATTGTTGGATGCTTGCTTGGGCCCTTGCTGGAGCGAATAACCCTGCAGTTCATCCGAATATCACTGTGAGAGAAAGAGAATATATACAAAAAAGTCTGAGTGTTACGAAAGATGAGAAGGTCAGTATCATTCTGAACTGAATGAAGTAAACATAATGTATGATCGACAAAATGACTAACGCCATTAGTAAGTGATCAACTAGAGACTCATTCACCTATGTTACTTATATAATATGTCAAGCTACATGATAACAATAATGAGAATCTCTTATAGCTGTGGCGATACATAAATGAGAAGTAGTCCCAAGTGTTAGCACCGAATGTTTCCTCACAAATCACCGTCATATGGCTGTCTACCTCAAATATACATCTTGCCTTCGAATTTCCTGTTGAACGATATGTCTGTCGTAGGTGTAGTTTGTTCCTACTCTATTTCGAAAATCTGTTGGGAATAATCACTTGCCCTCTATGAACTTCTCAGATGTCAGTTAACACCAGACCCCTCATTTCATTCCAAGAAACTGAAAACTCACGACAATGACAGGTCAACGCTGTCAATAGAGTTCTAGCTAGAGTAACAGATTGAGAAACCAAGAACTAGGTTGGAATAAACGACACGATACATATCTGATCCCATCATTTCCACGAAGTCTCACATCTCGAAGCTCCGCATTCCTCTCAAATATACCAAGAGTGAATTTCTCTCTCAAGGAAATCATGTCTGAACTATCAAGTAAGCTTATTCACTAGAACTCGAAATTCCAAAGTAGGCATGAAACCACTCAACTTTGGAACAACTCCGTTCTGGAAATGTTTTAACAAGAAAATTGTTGTTCTGAAACTGTTCTATCCGTCATTCGGTTGCCCCCTTACGAGCAACCCTCAGAAGTCTTCGAGAGTCTTGTGCGAGCATGAAATGACGAAGGCCTTACCTTCGTAGTCGATGAGAAACGAACTCACGACCGGCAAGCGAATGCGGATTAGAATATAGACACTGTGTCCGCACAGCTACCTGGCCCCTGTATTTTTTTTCATGAAGTTCTGCATCAAAAAATTCGCTGATGTTTCCAGATTACATTCAAAAGTGGAGATATTTATAGAGTTGTTGATGTCACCAATACGGTAACATCATCAGAACACCGTAGGAAATTTTACTTTTTCATAATACTTCTACAGGAGAAATAAATTATTTTCCGGAAACTTAGGAGATGAAAAAGTCATAAGATAATATCATGTTACGATTCCGTCAGTTCGAATAGGATATTCTAGAGATATTGGAGAAGCAGATATCTCATTTACTAAAATATTCATACCCATCTAATTGTTATCACTCCTCTTTCACCTCATGTATCCTATCTGAAGGAATTATTGTGAAATAAATTGAAGGATTAGCTATATAACAACTATGCACATCGATAATTGAGGAGCATCCACCCAAGAGTGATAAAATCCATTCGAACTAGATATGCATGGAACGATATTTTCACTGTACGTCACAATATTGCAAGAATTTGAATCCGTATTCCGTATCCGTATTCCGTTGAGCAACTAACAAAAATATGCTACAAATTATTCAATTTCTGTATAATTTCATTTCATTTCATTTCATTTATTTATGTTAACATACAATTGTATTTACACACGTCAAGCTATAATACATAATTCAATTACTGTTACAAAAAATATAAAAATACATATACTAATACAAAATTTTAGACACTGTACTGAGTACCTTAAAGTTATGTTGAAACTCGTTTCTTATCAGAAAATGTAGTTTAAAAATTCATCTATTGAATAAAACCTGCGTTGATTGAGTAAACCTCTTATTTCTTTCTTGAAATTATCAAATTCTAAATTTATGATATTGATAGGAATTTTATTGTAAAATTTTACAGCCAAGTACCCAGGGCCGTCTTGACACCTTGTTAGACGTTGATGGACTGGTATTAACCTATTCCTACCTCTTGTCTGAATTTCGTGATTTTCAGCGTGAGTCCTATATAAATTTTCATTTTTGTGAACGTATATCAGGCATTCGAGTATGTATACACATGGCAGAGTCAACACATCAAGCTCGCCAAATACCTCACGGCAGTCATCCATATACCCTAGTCCTGCAATAATTCTCATAGCCTTTCTTTGCAACGCAAATATTCTCTTTGACTGTGGTACGTGCCCCCATACCAATATCGCACTGCACATCACAGAATGGAACATTCCAAAGTAAGCTGTCCTCAATGAAGAAATAGAGACATTACCAGCTAGAGAGCGAAGAGCAAATAAGCCACTCCTCAATTTGCTTGCCACCCCATCAATATGCACACCCCATTGCAGCAGTGGGTCAATCTGTACACCCAGAAATTTCACACTACTCACGTCACCGTTGGTCACACCCGTGTCCCTAGTTGAAAAGACAATCATATTTGTTTTTCCGGTGTTGAGTAGAAGTTTGTTGGCACAAAACCAACTCTGGATGTTATTTTGAATATCTACTGTACTCCTTAGAGCCTCTTCTAGTGTATTTGCTGAAATGGCCACCGTCGTATCATCCGCAAATAGTGTGAATTTTGCTCCTGGTTCTATAGATGGCAAGTCATTTATATATATTAAAAACAAGACGAGCCCCAAGACTGAGCCTTGGGGCACCCCGATTGTGACATCCTTAAGTGCCGATGAAACACTATCTACTTTCACAGTTTGTTTTCTATTTGTTAGGTTAGACTTGAGAAAGGTAAAACTATCTGCTGAGAAGTGGTAACTTTTTAGTTTGCGCAAAAGAATTTCATGTGACACACAATCAAACGCCTTACTCAGATCACAGAACAAGGCACTTGTGAATTCTAGATTATTGAAAGCTTCATAAATATATGATACTAGATCCAATATTCCCAATACTGTATTCTTATTTTTCCTAAATCCAAATTGACATTCTGTAAAATACTTATTTTCTTCGAAAAATTTTGTTATTCTGATGGCAGTACATTTTTCTAGTATTTTTGATATTATTGGCAGGAGAGATATAGGTCGGTAATTCTGGGGTAAGTCCAGTTCACCACTTTTATATATAGGTATAACTTGAGCAATTTTTAGAACATCTGGAAAGATATTTTCCCTAAATGCCTGGTTAATTAGTTTTGTGAGAGGATGGATAATATTGTTTTTCACAGATTTGATCAGTTTCACATTGAGTCCGTAGATGTCAGAACTAGGTTTGTTTTTCAAGTTGTCAATGATATCTCTGATTTCAATAACTGAAGCCTCGGAAAATGAGAAGGGAGCTCTGGGAGCGAGAGGATTTCCCAAATAATTAATTGGATCAGTTTGTGATATGGGTATTTTCTCAATAACATTATTTGCAATATTTGCAAAGAAATCGTCAAATTCCTCTGCCAATATTCCACCAGTTTCTATTTTCTGTTTCTTTTTATTTGAACCCCTAAGATTGTTTAATATTTTCCATGTCATTTTGGATGGATTGGCAGCATCTTTTATTAACTTGTCATTTGCTTTTATCTTGGCTTGTTTAATAGCAAATCGATATCTCAATTTATATCTATTATATTCCTGCCTCAGTTCTATGCTGTTGTGATGTCTATACAGTTCTCCCAAAAAATTTAAATGATCACGCATAGCCCTTAGAGTATCATCAAACCATGTTGTATGATGCCCCTGACTAGCTCTTATTTTATATGTCTTTTCAGGAAAAGATATCTTATAGGTTTCTTTCAAGATAGACATGAATTTACTGAATTTTGCATTCACACACAAATTCCTATCATCAACAAAGTTCCAATCACTAGCTTCAATCATACTGTAAAAAACACACATACCAGACTGGGTAATTGGCCTACATACCTTCTTCTCTAGTTTCACCTCTGTACTGTTATCAGTAATTGGTACCAACAACCTTTGACCCAGATGATCTGATATACTAAGGTCTATTGTATCAGCTGAAAAAGAATCAGTGCTGAAATTCACAAATATATTATCTAGACATGCTCTAGCTCTAGTGGGTGATGTGATTGTTTGTACAAAGCCATAACTCTCAAGACTATCTCCCAAACGTTGATTTTCTATCTCATTTGTATTGAAGTGTATGTTAAAATCACCAGCTAATATGATTTTCTTGCCAAGACCTACCCTATTCAAGATTGTCTCCAGTACATCTAAAAAAGTGTCAAAACAGCCCTGTGGTGGCCTATAGAGAGATAAAATATAAACATTGAAATTTTTAACATATACACTACAACACTCAATACATCCTTGGATGCTCAAGTTATTTATTACAATACAATTACTAAAAACTAGACTTTGCTTCAAGTAAATAGCAACGCCACCTCCAATATTACCAGTTCTTGAAAAACTGCTTGATAATATGAATTTTTCTAGTCCTAATTCATTAATTTCTTCATTGCTGAGCCAGTGCTCTGATAGACACAGGGCATCATAATCTTCGTCTATAAGAAATGCTTCCAAAAAAGCAACTTTATTCCTTAGGGAGCGAATATTGATGTGTAGGATTCTCAGAATTTCTGGGTCCACTTTTACAATATTTGCCTTGGATTTTTCGATTTTGCCACTGATGATTGGCGCTGCAAATTCTGAAAATGGTTCACAATTGTGTCCTTAGGCCATAGTACTGCCGACATATAATCATCTTTCTTCTTTAATGGAACAGCTAGTTTGAATGAACTGTACATTTTCCCTTTTGTCTTCATTTTCTCACAGAAAAAGTCATCCTGCATATTTTGACTCTTGAGATAATCCATTAGGTTTTGGCTTTCGGTTTCTGGCGATAGGCCAGAAATGAACAGATGAGCCATCTTTTGGGCTACCTTCAATGATGAAACAGCTTCGTTCTGGCCCCTTAGAGGTTCAGGGCGCGAGAAGTTTTTGGAAAAAGCAGGCTTGTTATGGGTTTTTTTCATTTTCCTAACCTCAATCCACTTGTTCTTGTTGTCTTGAGAAGTGTCACCTTCTTCTTCTTCTTCTGACTTTTGATCATTGACATCTGTTTCTAATGTTATTTTTGGTACTGTGGCTGTATCATCCTTTGCCTTTGTCGTCATATCAGCGAATAGATAACTGCTGGTGCCATCACTGTCGTTAATCTGGCTGGCGCCACCTGCCGGGGATGTTGCAGAGGAATCGGAGGATACAGGAACGTCACAGACTATAATATAGAATGAGTGTGAGGATTCGTACTAGTTTGCATGATCACCCAGTTGGTTTGACTGAGATAATTATGTTCGAGAATGTATATCAGCCATCTCGAGTGAAAAATATTCATTGACTCAACTCGGAGAAAACTTAACGGATGAACAAAATGTCATTGGGATTTGTACTAGGGACAATAATTCCTATCATAAACATCCAAGGTGTAGCGCATGATCTTCGTCATTTACACCTTGAACAGTCTCAATCTCTGTTTTGTGTTCTTCTTGATTTATTGTTACCCTTGATTTCACTGACATATAGAATTCATCGATTTCGAATAATGAATCAATGAAAAATGCACTTAATCAAGTATAATACTTCGACCACTTCTAGATGACGCAATAGTGAAATATAAACTTTGTTGACCCTCATTTCCACCTCACATGTCGAGGCGTATAAGAAATCGAGTTGGTTATTGGTGAAGCAGTGTATTGAATCATCGTGCCAAAGGTTCTAGTCTTCGATATATCTCATTCACAATGTTGAAGATAAAATGACACACTCTTCATGAAGAATGAAATTCATCAGGCAGTTTTAGAATACCTTTGAATCTTAATGGGCTATACTTAATACCGCATCCGTATTTCGATTCTTGAGAAAAACAAGGAATCGAAGCAAATGAACAAATGGAAAGTCGTTACTTTCTGGTAAGAATAACTGATTCCACCACACCATCATACAAGGAACTGTGTCCTCGGAATGGGTCGTGAGATTCCATAAGGATGATCGAGGTTTATATGATGCAAAATTTTTACCAGGTTGTGTAAAAGTTGATGAAACTCCCTCATGGCTGCTCCTCAATTGTTGTTTACTTTCTTATGTTCAAGAATATAATGATCATATATAATGAACTATCGATCACAATAAACAAAAGTCGGATTTAGAATGAAATTTCTTGAATAAAGCAAGAAAAAACATGAGAATACGATTTTCCATAACAAATCTAGGACTAGTTTCTACTGGACCGTTCGTTCACAGGTTTATTTTTGTTTCACCTTTCTGGTGAGCAGGTATCCGATTCCATTATATATTCCACAATTATTCTGTCAATTTTTCATCGTTGAATAATTCAAATCTCTGGTAGCCTGAAATCATTTATATTATATCATATTTGTATTTCACAATGGGGACAATGGGAAAACAATCTGATTCGATAAAAATCGGTGATAAAATTATCAAGTATCACCAATAATCAGTGTTCAATTAGATATAATATAGTTTTCCATATTCCAGGAACAGTTTTGTCTCATGGGTATCAACCTTGAACATCCTGATTGGAAATAATGCTTTTTGATCTGGATCTATTTCGAAACATGAGATGACGACCTCAATTTCAAATGAAATGAATACTATTTAGATTCCGGAATCTGTTGTTTTGCACAATGTTCTGTCAGATTGCGTCTTATTGGTTTCATCTCATTCATTTATGTTGGCATCAGTATAAATCAAGAATATAGGCAAGCATCATCTTCTGCAACACCAGTCTTCTTGCTTCCAGGTATTGATAACTCCTTGGAAAGGAATATTCACCTCAATACCAATGTGGGCAATCGTAGTTGCCATGTTTGGGCAGAACTGGGGCTATTCTACTCTACTGACTGAGATGCCAACCTATATGAGTAAAGTTATGAAATTCGATATGCATTCGGTAAGTGGCAAAACTTTGATTATTCATGATCTGTCTACATCATGATATCTGATTGTGAAATATTTCACGATTGAATATGGAATTTATTTCTACTGTTTCTCATCATCCAAACAGATGCTCAATCAGGAATGAGATGATTTATTGTATACATCCAACAGTAAACAAATTCTTTCCTAGCTAGTATCACAGAAAATTCCATACATTCATTTCCGACTGATTGAAAGGTTCCTTATTGTTCTCGTTGCTTATAGCGACAACAAATTATCACGGAAGTTTTGTGAGCTTTGATTATTCAAATGAAATAAATGAGTGATAATTTCTGTTCCAAAGCTGCAGCGCCTTATATCTATTGGAAGAAAACACTCAGTTTATTTATGAATGAAAAACCATGTTGAGATGTGATATCTGATATAATCGTTCGAAACGAATGAATGTTTTGAATTATTTTCCTGAAATTTCAGTGATGAACCGCAGGTTCAATCCAGCAAAATCGATATTTATAGTGGAAATATAATGCGTCATATTCAACCGAACTCATCGGAAATATGTTTGTCAAAGTTTTATTTTGAACTATATATAGGTAGACATGTTATATCGAATGATATTGTTGATATGCAATACAGTTTTTGGTATTACCGAGAGCCTAGTGATGAAGCTCAGTTACTCACAAGTAAAATCAACTCCTTCAATGGAAATAGTGCATCATATTCAACTGAACTAATCGGAAATATGTTTATCTCAAATTCATCTGAAACCATGACGACATGCAATATCAGATGTGATGGTCGACAATGAACTAATGTTCCTGATGTTCTTAAAATTGTAGTAATGAATCCCACCCACTGATATTTTGAAAGAAGTATCTGCTGCGCTCCTTATTTGAAAATAAATATCTACTTATTGTGATACGTCATTGCTGTTTGCTTCATCGGAGAAAGTAAAAATATCTTCAAGGTCCTTTTGAGATTTCTCGACCTTTATATATTTCAGGTTCAACCAGAAGTGATATCCAATATTGTTTTTAATGGAGAATAGGGATAAAATAACACTTAAGAATTTAATAAACCCCTACGCCAACATGAGGATTTCGTGATGAAACTAACTTGGATATTACCTCTTTATTATATTCCTATATTATAGGAAATATCGGAAAGTTCAGTCAAAGGAACTATGAGTGAGGGTTGCTAGGCTGTGTGCACGTGAATATATACCAAAGAAGGAAAGATTTCTATTTCGTGCAAGAATTTGTTCAAATTATTCGTAGAAGAGCGCTTTCGACTGTTAAGTCATCATCAGTCCGTACCTGTAAGTGAGTAATCTGCCTTGAGCTTTTGGAAAGAAATTTTAATCGAAAATTCTGAAGAAATTTTTCGATTTTTTTTTTAATATTTTTGAAAAAATATTTTTTGGAAAAATCTTTTTGGAAATACCCCTCTGAGATGTTTTTAATTTCAATACTCAACTATAATGAGGTGTTTCTTTATCTCTATGGGTATGAAATGCCAAATCTGCCGAAATAGAAAAAAATTAAGGTATGCGTCTCAACCCCAATTACCAAACGTCAGAATGTTGTTTATTCTTGATGACGCCCAGTATATCCTTTCCGAATCCTAGGAGCTGAAGTTCAACTTCAGCTCCTAAGAACTAAAGTTCAACTTTAGCTCCTAGGAACTCAATATACTGCAGTAGATATACTACCGCGGAGGTGGGCCCAGTCCATCCAGTTCTCGAGCTCTTGTAGACAATAGGGGGGTCTAGTTGTGGTTTGTGCAGACTTTTCCAGGTGCACAAGTGTCGTCGACAATGACCAGAAGGTGTTGTCACCGGAGATTCACCTTGTCACATGTATTTTCACCTGTCTCACCTGTGTCACCGAATGAATTTGCGATTCACCTTGCCTATTTGTGGTTTGTGCAGACTTTTCCAGGTGCACAAGTGTCATCGACAATGACCAGAAGCTGTTGTCACCGAAGATTCACTTTGTCACCTGTCACCTAGAGGTACATTTCACCTGTTTCACCTACTTTACTGATTCACAATTATATGTTCCAAATTCTAGTTCCACAGACCTCAATCACCCTATATACATGTTCGAAATATCAATTGGATATCGCAAGCTGACCCAGAGGTCAGGATTATCATGTTTTTATTTTGAATGATATGAGACCTTGTTATTCATATATTTTTTTCTGCAGTTCGATTGAATGTTATTCAAAATTCAGCTGACAAGTTATTTGTGCCATTAAGGACCATTTTGGAGAAATTTTGCTGAACTTTCAGTTCCAGGAAAGTATAAAAGCTGTGATTATGTTATACCTCAATATCAGGTATACCTGCTGTGAATTATTTGTGTTGTGGTAACTTATTGGTGAGTACCTCGTAATATGTTTTATTTCTTGTGTTTTATTGATGGGTACATGCTATCAGAATAGCTATTATCGGTTTGGGTTGATTGAATGAAATCGAAACAGTGGAATATAGGTGTACAATTCATTTATTGATCATGAATTAGGAAGATATGATACTACAATATTTTAATTACATTAGTGAGGGGGTTATACCTTACTAAACGGTCATGTTATATTATACAGTAGGCAGAGGTGTTTGCAGGAATGTTTTGATTTGTTTCAAATTCGAGGCGAATGTCCACACTACCTGTCTTGAGAGATTCGTTTTGTCTACTACAATCTATTACAATTAATGGTGCTATATCATGGAATTTTGATAATGTTAGACACGGTTCACCAGAATTTTTATAGTAATATGACTCTTGAAATCGTGCATACATTTCATATATAACAGAAAACTGATATTTATTGAAATTGAGATTCAAATTGTCATAGGGGTACACTTCAGAGTTCAGGTAAAGTTCTATATTGGTGAGATTACAGTGATCGAATTGACTCATATTTTTTTGAATGTCATTTTTTCTGTTCGTTTGGACACCGACAATAACAAATCTTGGCTTTCCCATTTGGCTGGATGCTTTGACGTTCCAGGAGTGGCGCATAGTTGACTGTAAAAGAGGATATTCATGATGTTCCCATGACTTGAAGGCTATCTCCAAATCTCTTCCCTTTTCAATATACTTGATTAACCGTAATTTTTCCACATCTGAAACCTGGATATGGTGAATTTTCAATAGAACTTTGGTTAATTCAATTTTCGGTTTTTCTCCTGCCTTGGAGGATATCGAAGGATTAATATCATTGCTACTCCTGATGAGAACAAGTTCTTGCCGAAAATCCCAATAGATGTTTGAGTGGTAGACAAACGCTAAAGTTCCCCTGAAGATCAACAATTTCCGGATGACCAAGATGATTCCAACCAGCATTTATATATCTATTGCATTCATTATTTGTATAAGAAATGTAGCCCTTCATAGCTGATGTGATTCCAGGATTACGAACTCGATCCACAACGGACCCACCAATTTCATATCGGATTTCATCAAATAGAAAAGCAATACCATTGTTGATAAAGTTCAGTGTAGCACTCACTTTATCTCCACTGTCAGTAATTCTACCTTCTAGATAAATGTAACTTTGTGATGGTAATGTGTAAATATCCTGCGTTTGAATCGGAACACGTATCTCGAATGACTTATTTAGGCTTGTATTGGCATATGGCGGATGAGAGTGCATTTCGCAATTCGTTATCGCATTGTCCATCATCACATGTTCACCAATATTCAAAATATTGAAACTCATGTTTGTTGTGTTTCACTTTTTCTTCCGCAGGAACACCTCAGGAGAATGAAGATTCTTCTAAGACCAGCGTTGATGTCCAATTTTAGGTTATACCAAAATTCGTAAAAAGTCTTCGTTTTGTTTTTTATAATAATGATTTGAAACCGAGTGAAATGAGGAACTGCTGATTTTCAGGTGTTAACTGTTTGATGTCACCTTTCGGACTGATACTTTTGATTGATGAAGAACGCGTTTCCTGACCCATTGTTGTTGTTGTTGTTGTTGTTGTTGTTGTTGTTGTTGTTGTTGTTGTTGTTGTTGTTGTTGTTGTTTTTGTTGTTGTTGTTGTTGTTGTTGTTGTTGTTGTTGTTGTTGTTGTTGTTGTTGTTGTTGTTGTTGTTGTTGTTGTTGTTGTTGTTGTTAATGATGACATTGGAATATTATAGCGGAACACCATATTCACTAGATCTCTTTCAAATGCAACCTGACTGTTATGACTTCCTTTTGGAAATTAATTAAGGTTCCAGTTTGATCGACTATTCTGAGCATTATTTCATCAATGTAATTGGAACTGATTGGTAGATAAATGACATTTGACACTTTCTCAACTATTCGAAATCCACTAGGCACTGATGGATAAAACATGTGCAATGTGTGAACGGAAGAATTATTATTATAGGAATTCGTTGTTAAATTACATTCAACACACACTGAATTCACCTTGGAAATATTAATTGGAAAATCTGATATATGTTTTTTATTAGCTTCCAATTTCCTCTTACTGAATCCTAACAGAGTTGCTATTGCAGTTCAAACAATCGTCTTGGTTACAAAAATACATTCACTTGAACAATGAACTGAGAAAGAAGTGTAAAAATGAGTTTGATAAAATTTTTTATAAACTTATGAATAACGCTGTTTTTGGCAAAACTATTGAGAATGTTAGGAAATATAAAGATGTTAAATTAGTTACAAAATGGTCAGGTAGATATGGAGCTAGTTACTATATCTCGCAACCTAATTTCCACAGTTGTATTATATTTGATGAGGATATGGTTATCATTGAAATGAAAAGGTTGAAAGTAAAACTAAATAAACCTATTCATGTTGGATCCAGTGTGTTAGACATTTCAAAAACATTCCTTTATGATTTCCATTACTCTTATATAAAACCCAAATTCGGGAATAATGCAAAATTATTATACACCGATACAGATTCATTATTGTATCAATTCATCGATAACGACATTTATGAACACATTAAATCCGACATAGATAGGTTTGACACTTCTGATTATCAGCATGATAACA